TGAGCGGAGGTCACAGTCGTGTCGCGAGCAGCACCAGTAGTCCGGAGGCTACAATCTCCGGTAGTCGCCAGTCACCTGTGGGTCATTTGCTCCAGTCAGGAGGCTACAATCTCCACGGAGCCAGTTACTCCTGTAGTCCGGGCCATTGTTTCGGTAGCCACTGAGCCAGCAGCTCCTGTGTGTCTGCAGCTTCCGCCGTCGCCTCCCATCTCCTCTCCTCTCACAGTCCCTCCTCCTCCTCACATGCCCTCTGCGACTACCTCTAGCTTTACTTGGGCCTGTGAACTATTTTATGACTGCTTGTTGTGTTGATTACACCCCACTTTGGCTATGGGGGTGTGTCAGAATGATGTAATTGTCTAGCCTGCAGTGGGGTACTCTATAGCGAGTACAACCCAATTAGGGTTTCATATATGTATCTCAACTGCTCCTAGTGCAAACCCTCCTTCTGCTTCTAAAATTTTTCTCGTTCTTGTGACACAAATGACCCTCTGAGGTGACCCTGAGGAGAGAGTTTCAGTATCAATTAAGGTAGTTAGTAGTTAGTTTAGTATGTGTCAAATGTAACACAATGCTCGTTTTCCCATTAATTTACTTCTCTATTTCGTATTTCAGTTATTTTCACCAAATGACCCTACCAAATGCGGGAAGCCTCTATTCCCACTGCTTCTAGTAACAGTCGGGTTACCTGCCTCGTATCGAGCCTATATATGGCCAAATAGTTATACCCAAGTTCATTTAGGCATGAGCAGGCGGCCCGACCCGACCCGACCCGACCCGACCCGACTTGGCCGGGCTAGCCAAGCTCTCATGTCGGGTCAGGTCGGGCCAGACCCGAGCCAAGCTGGTGAAGGCCCTGACCCGACCCGAGGTCGGGTCGGGTCTCGACCCGCAGGGAAACCCGCCCCACTTAGGGTGCATGTTTGTGTGTGAGTGTTGTTTTTGTTATTGTTTATTATTTTGGGTGAATGAGTATGCACTATAACGAATGCAACATTCACGGTCATAACTGTATACTGGAAAGGACCAACACCAACGTTTTGTAGACCTTCGCATGCCGCATGAAATCGCAGATCGCCACCATTGCCACCTTTTTCTGTTTGAACTTATTCTTCCTGTACATTGCATCAACACGGGCCAACCGAATCCTTCGCATCGTCACCGCTGTCAACGTTGCCCACGGGAAACCCGACCTCGTGGCCCCCTCTTGAAAGAGCATGTCACCCAAGGTTTCAGACTTCTCGCAGTGCGGACAGCAGCCTCTAGGACCTAGGAACACCAGTCTCGGTCCCACCTGCAGGTTCTTGCTCTGCTAACATCTCTCGCTCTGTACAGGATGGCTAGGGAGTCTCGCCTCTGTATCGCCGCTTAGTCGATATATTTACCCCACTCCTCCTACTCGTGCCTTTTTCTTGATGCCGTTACTGGACCCGTGAGCGCCCTTCGTATCACCTTTGGCGCCGCTGGCCTCATATCATCCCCCACCAGCTGCGTCTGGCATAGCTTCGTGCGCGAATTGCCCATCTTACCGAGTAACAAGCCTCCTTTGACCGTCATCAGCACCACGTTCTTGGCGGCGAAAATAGTTGCGATCGGCCTCGGCGGCGCCACCAGGTTTGCACCGTCCGCGCATCGTAAGTGGTCCGTCGCAACCCTCCCATGTTTTTGCATAAACCTTAGAGCTAGCGTTCTTTTTATAGATATAATTTGTGACACACTATAACACTAATAATTATGGCAACATTTTTTTTTTTTTTTTTGGGTGACAGGGAAGGCAAAGTGCAGAAACATTGAGTTTGCTAGGTAACTACAAATGATATCTCCCTCCATTTATATAAGTCAAAAATAAAGATAATATGCAACGATTAAGAAATCACTGGGGTAAATTCATAAGGGTACTCTACCAATCACCAATCACAAGAACAACGTCTCTACCTCAAGGCATAATTGTGCCGCTGCGGTCGTAGTGCCTGAATCGGCGACGTCTTCCTAGGATTATGCATTTGCCACGACTTCATCATTATGGCAGCACACATCTGGCTCACGCTTAGTCGGTGCCTCTACCACGTGACAATGTTCCTGCTCTGCCTGAATGCGCGCTCACTCGCTGCAGACGTGGCGGGTATACCCAGATAATCGCGTGCCATGGCCCCAAGTTCCGCAGCTGGGTCTCCCTACCTCACCAGTACACTAAGGAGCTCCCAACATCCTGCCTCGCGTCTGCCTAATACTGGTCCACCTCGTCCTATGCCTGCACCCCCTCCTTTACCTCCATGGCTGCCATCTCCGCCCATAGCTCCGCCTCCAAATCCCACCTGCCACCTCCCCCAGCCGCTCCCCTCGCTGATGTCCCCGCCGCCGCTGCATGCCCCGCTGCTCTCCTCGCACTCGTGACCTCACCTCCCGGTCGTGCCTCTGCCGCCACAGTTGCCGTTGGCTGGTACTATGGAAGGCACCCTCGTACCAGCACCTTCACCCTCTCGGCATCCAGCTGGAGTGTGCCCCCCGTGGCTAGGTCTTAAAAACCTAGTAACTTGGATAGGTAGGAGGGATGGTGATATTAGGTCAAAAGGAGGGGTACACGCAAAGTGTCGAGAGATTTTATATGCCCCCTAACATGCAACTCACTACAGCCTATCCAAGAATACAAACATAGTTTGACATTACGCCCCTCTTCTCCACCACCAAAGGTGCGCTACTTCTCGCCCACCGAGTTCTGAGCTTGAAGGGGGGGGAGGGATTCTTGTAGCACGGATTGAGGAAGGTGGCAATCGCTGCCTCCTCACTCACCCTTCCCCCGCCCCCCCCCCCATGTGCCGCTCCAGGTTGTTCATTGCCGCCATTACGAGCGAGGAGCGCAACGTAGAGACTCTTCGCTCGAGCAGATCCTTCTCAAGAATATCCAATAGCTTGTTGTACTAGGATACAACAGCTATCATGGTAGGGTACAGAGACCCCTCTACGAAAAGAGTGACAGTGAGAAAGGGTTGGAGGAAATCACGATTGGTCGGATCTTATTTCATGCCTCGCGTGTGGCACAGGGGATGCAAGTTCGAGGGGAATTGTAGAGTGAGCGTGAACGTGAGAAATATATTGAGTTTAAGAACTTTAGAACAAATAAGGGTGTGGCCACCCTTCATTATAAGCACGTTCCACATGCATACCACCCGTCCGGCCCATTCAAGGCACCACAACACCTTGAGCATACATGCATGACCACCGTTCATTATAAGCACATTCCACATGCATGCAACCCTTCGAGCCCATTCAAGGCCCCACAACACCTTGAGCATACATGCATGACCACCACTCATTGTAAGCACATTCCACATGCATGCAACCCCTCGAGCGCATTCAAGGCCCCACAACACCTTGAGCATACATGCATGACCACCACTCATTGTAAGCACATTCCACATGCACGCAACCCCTCAAGCCCATTCAAGGCCCCACAACACCTTGAGCATACATGCATGGCCTCCATTCATTATAATCACATTCCACATCCATGTAACCCCATGAGCCCTCTGCTCACGTCTGTCTCATCGAAGAACATCGTGAGAGGCATGCGAAGGATCCAACCCCCTCAACACCATCTCTAGCGTGGATCCCCATCGGGTAGGCGAGTAGATGATCAGGCGCAAGCCCGCGGATACTTGGCTCGCCCTGGCCCCTGTGCAACCTCCTATTGCGACCCCGTCTGGCTCGTAGCATACCCGCTCTACAGGTCAAAGAACCGCTGCGAACGTTGCACGGACCACCCAATGTGGCTGGCCAACTCTCGCAGCCTCCGAAGCTGCTCCTTGACCGCCTCAACCTTGAATGCATGCTACATTGCTAGGTTGAGGATATAGACCACGCACCTGTCGGGCACCGGCACGCTAACATGAATTGGTTTAGATAATGGTGTGTACGTTGACATTACAGGAAACATAATCAACAGTATGTGTAGATCTCTTAAGAACAGTAGTGTAATGCACCTGAAGTATCGAGAACGAGGGAGAAGTGGAGGGTTCCGAAGGCGAGACCCTGGGGTGCCGCCAGGGACGCCAGCCAACAGGCGAACCTCTCGGTTGTTGTTCTCCGCGTTGTCCGTGGTCACTCCATGTCACGTGCTGTTCCCGTACCTCCCTTGTCCTCTCCGCGTTGTCCGTGGTCACGCCATGTCCGTTGTCCGCAGTCGCCCCCTCACCTTGACCCCACTTGCATTCCCCCCTCCCCCCTCCTCCCTCCGTAGGCCGCACCAATCCCGACCCCTGACGCTCCCCTGCACGCGCCCTCTTCTTCGAAGCCTGACTTCCCCTAGCAACACTACCACCACCCCCGGATCTCTCACTTGCGCCATCCTCCCCACTCCCTGCCTCACAATCAGGGTCATGGTCCCGCTCGGTTGTATGCCCTGCATTATAAGCACTACACACCTCACTCTCCTGCCATCGTCGCTCTTCCTTACGTCGTCGCGCCGCAATACCCTCTTCCAACAAATTCCTTCCAAACGATTCATGCTGCCTCATCATCTCCCAGGGAGAGAGAACCTAATTGGAAAGTCTCAATTGATGCGGAGATCGCCAAGCCACCAAGGGACGCGCCGGGAATGGTTCTCCTATACTTGTTTTCCGATAATTATACACTCTGTGCCCTTTTTTTTGTCAGACATGTGAAGAAAGGAACGTGAATGAAATGACTATGAATGAAGTGAGTACAAATAGGAAACCCTAGTTGGGTTGTACCCCCTATGGGATACCCCACTATAGCCTACACAAATAAGTAAGCTATAATATTCTGACACACCCCCATAGGCCAACTCGGGGAGAACAAGGGGTCACAAGACCAGTCAAGCAAAACAAAGCAAAGCTCAGGGTGGATCACAAAGTCACCACACATTCCGAGCACAAGTTCAAGGGCCACAAGGCCAGTTCACATGCAAGACCATATATAGAGATATACAAGAGTCAAGCAAGCAAGAGCAAGAGTATATATAGGTCAAGGTACAAGCAAGGTCAAGAAGTGAGTAAGTGAGGCAAGACAGGCACAAGGCCCAGCTGCGTGCAGCAACGCTGATGATCACAAGGCGCAAGTGCCTTGGTGAAGACATCAGCAGTGTTGGCCTCAGAGGCCACGTACGCAAGTCGCAACTGTCCACGCTGCTGTAGCTCACGAGCAAGAAAGTAGCGGAGAGCAATGTGCTTTGTCCTGTGCTCCACTCGCTGCTCTCGACACAAGGCCAGCATGGCCTTGTTGTCTACGTACAGGACTAGAGGAGAACGAGGCGGCTCTCCAAGGTCGGTCAACAGGTAGGTGAGCCAGCGTAACTCCTGTGCAGCCATAGCCCCGGCGTAGATCTCAGCCTCACAACTGGAGCCGAGAACAGAAGACGAGCGGGTAGCCCGCCACGAAACAGAGCCGGAACCAAGGCTGAAGGTGTAACCCTGTGACGACCGCTGCGTAGCCTGGTCGTCAGCCCAAGAAGCGTCCGCGTGCCCAGTGAGGACCACTGGACTGCGCCCTCCAAGCACTAGCCCCATGCCCGACGTACTGCACAAGTAGCGCAACACCCTCTTCGCTGCAGCCATGTGCTCTGGTCGGTGTCTCCCAGGAGCAACATAGCGTGCGAGAATGCTAAGAGGGTATGCAAGGTCAGGTCGTGTGCAGGTCATCAGGTACATGAGGCAGCCAACAAGCTCTGCATACGGGCCACTCGACTCTACGGACTCATCCGAAGGCAGAGCTGAGAGCGAGTTGGCGAGTAGGCAGAGGAGTGGCCTGAGGCGAGGAGTACGTGAAGCCGAAGCGCTGAAGGACCTGCTGCACCATGTGTGACTGAGTCAGGGTAATGGTGCGGCGTGCTCTGTCCCGGGTGATCTGCAAGCCAAGGTAGCTGCGCAGTTCACCCAGGTCAGTGCACGTGTGTCTCTTCTGCAGCTCGGACTTCATGTAGGCGAGTCCAGCAGTGTCAGCTGTGGCAAAGACCAAGTCGTCGACGTACACGAGGATGTAGAACGGCGGCAGAGAGGTGTCGGTGCGCAGAAACAGCGACGGGTCGGCAGTAGAAGGAGCAAACCCAAGTGCCGCCAGCGTAGTCCTCAGTGTGTCATGCCACTCACGTGGCGCCTGGCGGAGACCGTAGACTGGACGCCGGAGACTCCACTGGGTACCAGGAGGGAAAGACCCAGTGAAGCCAGGTGGGCGACGCAGCCAGATCTCCTCGTGCAGGCTGCCCTGCAAGAAAGCTGTGCTGAAGTCGAGAGAGTGCAGCTCGTAGTCACGGTGAGCAGCAACGTGCAGCAGTACCTGAAGAGTGGTCATCTTCGGGGTGGGGGAGAAGGTCTGAAAGTAGTCAACCCCCTGCCGCTGACTGAAGCCACGAGCCACGTAACGCGCCTTGAAGACAGGCGGAGAACCCGGCGGCCGCTTCACCCTGAAGATCCACATGCCACTGACGATGTTCGCCCCAGGAGGGGGGACAGCGTCAACGTAGGTGCCTGTGGACTTCCAGGAAGCCATCTCTGCATCCATAGCTGCCTGCCACTAAGAGGAGTAGGGACCCTCTATCGCCTCCGCGTAAGAGCGCGGAGTCGGGATGTCTAGTGCATCCGGGTCTCCCTCAGGGGCTAGCAGTACAGACGCGAGATGAGGTGAAGCAGCGGCCAGACACTGGAACTCCTCCTGCCTGTCCTCAAGGACGTCTGTGCTAAGGGCACACTCACCCCCGACGGACGGAGGACAGGCAGACTCAGACTCAGCGACAAGACTAGCAGCGTAGTCTTGACGACAGCGAGCAGCAAAGTCGACGAGCTCAGTGACAAGGGCAGACGCAGCAGAAGACTCAAAAGAAGGGTCAGTGACAGCAGTAGCAAGGAGACGCGTGACAGAAGGACTGGCTGCACGAAGAGAGTCCAAACTCCGGGTCGGCAAGAGCAGGAAGAGAGGAAGCAGGAGGAGAAGGCAAAGGGGCACGCAGGGGAGCAGTAGACGGACGCAGAGACATCCGGTGCGTGCCAGGGACAGGAGGAGGACGCTGACGCGAACCGCGACCACTAGCGCGCGCAGTACGAACAGGCGACGCAGGACGAGACGCAGGCTCACGACGCTCAGTAAGACCTCCAGTCGGACCAGCGTAGGGAGAAGGAGCAGGCAAAGGGGAGGCAGGCTGTAGCTGTGACTGTGACGAGACAGGCTGTGGACCCTCTAAGGGAGGAGGAGGAGGACCAGGAGAAGGTGTAAGACCAAGAACCTGCTGCAGGAGCGGAACGAAGTACGGTCGGGGCCGCGCGGCGACGCCAGAAACAGCAGGGACAGCACCAGTACCCCCAGCAGGAGTACCCGCTCCAGCAGCACCTCCAGCAGCACCTCCAGTAGCTCCAGAACCTCCAGCAGCACCACCAGGAGCACTGCCAGTCGGACCGTCAGCGGCAGTCTCAGCGCCAACACCCTCAGCAGCACCAGCTCCAGGAGAACCCTCAGACCCAGCAGCTCCAGCACCTACAGTACGAGCACCTCCGGGACGCTCGGCAGAAGTACCCTCTGCAGCCGAAGAACCTCCAGCACCAGCAGCACGCCTCCAGCGCCGGGCAAACCACTCACGCAGCTCCTGTGGGGAGAGTGGCTCTCGACGAGACGAAGCACCTCCAGGCGTAGCACCCCCAGTCTCAGCACCCCCAGGCTCAGCACCCTCAGGCCCAGCACCCCCGGGCTCAGCACCCCCGGGCTCAGCACCCCCAGGCCCAGCACCCCCCAGGCTCAGCACCCCTAGACTCAGTACCCCCAGGCTCAGCACCTCCAGACTCCGCACCCCCAGGCTCAGCACCCCCAAGTGTAGCACCTCCAGGCTCAGCACCCCAGGCTCAGCTCGCGCAGCAGCACCAGAGTCACCAGTGACCTCGACAGGCTCGACCGCGTCTACCTGGGACACACCTGAAGGGGCAGGACCCTGAGGGGGGAGGGGGTCTACCGGGGGGGGACCTGGCACCAAGAAGAGCGGGGGCGGGGGGAGGGACGGAGTGCGGTAGGGGAAGAGGCGGTAGTAGGGTACCGACTCGTCGAACGTGACGTCCTGGGAGGACAGAACACGTCGAGAGGTGGGGTGGTAGAACTGCCACCCAGGGGCGTCGGGGGGGAACCCCAGGAAGACGCAGGGAGCAGCGCGAGGGGACAGCTTGTCCGCAGACAAGTCGCGGACAAACGCCCGAGATCCCCAGACCCGGAACGCCGACGCATCGCCAACCTTCCCCGTCCACAGCAGGGCTGGGGAGGTCTCCGGCCTGGAGACCCTGGGGTGGAGGTTGATCTGATGCGCTGCGTACCTGACCGCAAACGGCCACTGAAAATGGGGGGGCAGCCGCATGCATCATGGACGTACGAGCGACGTCCATGACCATGCCAATGCGGCGCTCTGCAATCCCATTTTGCTGCGGGGAGTCCGGAAGCGTGAAGGTCTGGCGGATGCCTCGCGCACGACAGTAGGCACGCAGAAGGCCAGAGGAGAACTCTCCGCCTCTGTCCGAGTGCAGACGCAACACAGGAAAGTCCGAGCCAAAGCTCTGCCTGAGCTGGAGACGAGCTGCGCGGATCCAGTCGATCAGCACCTCAGTGACATCACCCTTGCTGCGCAAGGGGAAGACTGTGGTGTAACGCGAGTAGTCGTCAACCACCAACAGGAAGTAGCGCTCGTGACCGAGTCCACGGACGTGGGCAGGGCCCCACACGTCCATGTGAAGCGTCTGCAACGGGGGCCTCTGTCGGAGGAAACTGGGAGAAGTGAGGGGCAGCACGCTGGCGCCTCTCGACACAGGGGACACAGGCAGGGCCAAGGCCCTGAGGAAGGGGAGGTAGAGACCGGGGGAGACCAGACACAAGAAGACGGGAGGCCATGCCTCTGAGCCGAAGCAGAGAGGGGTGGCCAAGGCGGTGGTGCCAGAGGAGGGTCTCGTGAGACAGACGGCGACACGAACAGGGGGCAGACTCAGGACCAGACCTGGACGCTGGAGCAAACACCTGACCAGACGAAGGGACTCTACCAGACTCAGCACCTGGAGGAGAAGCAGTGGTCAGTGTGTACAGGCTCGACCCTGGCTGACGTGTAAACGTAGCCAGGTGACGACCCGTGCTAGCCTCTGTGCAGTGCGTCACTCGCTGACGAGCAGGGGTGAACTGGTGGACTCCCGCATCCTGTAGGTCAGCACCACTCACCAAGTTCGTAGAGAACGAGGGGAGGTAGAGACCAGACAGGGTGCCAGAGGGAGCCGCCGGACACGGGAGGACTGTGGAGAAGCGAGACAGGACAGGACCCCCAGAGGGGTCAGCCAGGGAAACCGCAACCGGCCGACTAAGCGGCGTAAGTGTGGTGCGGTCCCGAAAGAAAGAGCGAGACGCTCCAGAGTCAAGAGTGAAGGTGTGGGAGGCCGAAGCCGACGCAAGTACCTGAGAGCACAGACGCACTAGTACCTGAGAGAGCAGTCTCACGAGCACCTGAGAGCACAGACGCACTGGCACCTAGAGCAGAAGCCTCACCGGCACCTGGAGCAGCAAGTACCAATGCCCGGGTCGGGCGGGAAACACCGGTAACAGTCACCCTCATCACTAATGGTCACAACATACATGGCAGCAAGTATAGCATCAAAATCAAGATCAAAGATAGCTACACCAGCCCTAGACAGCTCTCCCCAGCGGGGGATCTCCGCGGCCTCCGGGAACTGCTGACGCCAAGCGTCCGTCAGGCGGCCAAAGCAGCGCTGGGCGGGGTGGGCACCCCCACACTGCTCTCCAGTGCGGTCGCTAGTGCGGGAGAACGTAGGTGCAGGTACCAAAACCCCCACCGCGCTGACGCTGCGTGTACCACTCACGGAGCTGCTGAGGGGTGGGGACGTCGCGAGAACGCTGCTGCTGCTTGCTGCTGCTGCTGGCGCTGACCGCCACCAGTGCCGCTCCGCTGCGAAGCTCCACTCCGACCACCTCCACCTCCGCCACCCCCGCCTCCGCCTCCACCGCCCCCGCCTCCACCTCCACCGGCGCCACCTCCGCCACCTCCGCTACCACCGCCACCGCCGCCGCCACTCCCGCCTCCACTGCCGCCACTAGCACCCCCACCCCCGCTACCACCTCCACCGCCACCCCCACTCCCTCCGCCGCCTCCACCTCCACCGCCACCGCCCCCACTGGCCCCACCCGCTCCCTTTCCCCCCTTGCCCTTGCCAGCGCGGCGTCTCCCGCTAGGGGCAGACGCCGCACCGACCGACTCAAGACCAACGAGGTCAGGCCGCAGCGGGAGAGGCGACAGAGGGCAGGAGAGGGGAAGGAGAACACCCCTCAAAGATGGGGGCGCGGGGGTCACCTCGAGAGGCTCCTACAGCAACTATGCTCTCTCTGCTGCAAGGAGGGCCTTCTCAAGGCTGTCGACTGTGAGGGTGGTGGGACAGACCGCGAGGAAGTGGTCCCGGACTACACGAAGGGAGTCAGGGAGGCGAGGTGACTAGGAAGTAGAGAGTGATGTACATGGGGGGGGGGGGTTCTTGGCGCAGAAGTCAGCAGGAAGCGCAGCGCGGGTAGCGAGTGTCACTAGTGCGGAGGTGCGTGATGAGATCAGCGACAGTGGGAAAGGCGGCAAGGTCAGGGAAGAGGAAGGGGAGCATGAGGCGGCTCCGTGCAGCAGTGGCAGGGGAGGAGTAGCGCGCAACTACAGCGTCGTACAAGGTCCTGAGCACTCTTGTACTGGCTAAAGTGCCTGCGCGCGCTCAGCGGTAGGCAGGTGGCGACGCACAGCAAGACGTGCAGCAGCATCGCGCGTGGCCCACTGAGAGCGAACAGTTGGCGTCAGCATCAGCAGCAGGGGCAGGGACGGCGCCAGAGGTGAGGTCAAAGAGAGACAGGACCGTCGGCCCTGTAGCCACTGTAAAAACAGCTGCAGGTCGTCGAGCCAGACCTCAAAGTCAATGGCTCGACCCTGAGCGTCAAAAGCGAGGACACTGGGTGTAGCCATGACGACGACAGTGGCGCAGTGCAAGCAGTAGGGGAAGGGTACGCAGTGACAGCAGTGCAGTGCTCACCGGGCAGGGCAGGTCGGGCGGCTCGGGAGGAAGGTCGCCTGGCGACACGGCCGCTAGGCTGCTGGGCGGCTCGGCTCCCGGGCGGCTCGGCTGCTGCTGGGCGGCTCGGCTGCTGCTGGGCGGCTCGGCGGCTCCTGGGGCTCGGCTCGGCTGCTCCCGGGCGGCTCGGCTGCTACTGGGCCGCGTAGGTAGGGCGGCCGGGCGGGCCGCAGGTAGGGCGGCGGGTAGGCCGCAGGTAGGGCGGCGGGACGGCCGCAGGTAGGGCGGCGGACGGCCGCAGGTAGGGCGGCGGGTAGGCCGCAGGTAGGGCGCGGGACGGCCGCAGATAGGGCGGCGGACGGCCGCAGGTAGGGCGGCGGAGAGGCCGCAGGTAGGGTGGCGGGTGGCCGCGACAGAGTGGCGGGGCCGCTCGAAGGAGTGGCGGGGCCGCGACGAGGTGGCGGGGCCGTGCGAAGAGGTAGCGGGGCCGCGACTTGGGTGGCGGGGCCGCGACGGAGTGGCGGGGCCGCTCGAAGGGGCGGCGGGGCCGCGACGGAGTGGCGGGGCCGCGACGGAGTGGCGGGGCCGCGACGAAGGGGCGGGGCCGCTCGAAGGGGTGGCGGGGCCGCTACGGAGTGGCGGGGCCGCGCGTAGGGGTAGCGGGGCCGCGACTGGGTGGCGGGGCCGCGACGGGACGGCGGGGCCGCTATCAAGGGCGGCGGGTGGGCCGCTAAGGTAGGGCGGCGGCTGGGCCGCGAGAGGGCGGCGGTCGGGCCGCGAAGTAGGGCGGCGGGGCCGCGAAGGAAAAGGGCGACTCGGAGGGTCGCTAAAAAAAAAAAAAGGCGCGCGCCTCGGGCGCGCTTCGGTGGGCCCTAAAGAACAGTCCCTAGGATGGGACCTGCTCTGATACCATGTGAAGAAAGGAACGTGAATGAAATGACTATGAATGAAGTGAGTACAAATAGGAAACCCTAGTTGGGTTGTACCCCCTATGGGATACCCCACTATAGCCTACACAAATAAGTAAGCTATAATATTCTGACAAGACATCCTATACGGTTTTTGGTTTGACGAGACGGGCACCCATGACATTACGGTCTATAAAAAAATGACCAGCAAGTCCCAGCCTCACAAAACTCACCATTCGTAGTCCGAGTGAATGGGGAAATGTGTAGTGCCAATCTTATTCTGTCATACCGGAATGAAAATGTGTGACCTTATCCTCGATAATTCAAAGCACGTTGCTAAGTGCCTTCGAAACAAGATTTTCCAAGGTTAGGTACCCCAGGGCGTGAAGATAAGGGGTATGGAACATGTGTACTATCCTGTCCACCATCAGCCATGGCCTCGGACACGGTCCCTACACCCCACTGAACACGGGCCAAGCTGCAAACCCACGCGCGATTAGAGTGCATTGTGCACAAGGCATGCGGCCGCCCCTTCCCTCCCGAATGCATGCGGCCGCCCCTCCCCTCCTCACCGCAGGCGGCCGCCAATCCCCTCCCATGCTGCATGATGACAGGTGCAGCCCTGACACAACTCATGGACGCTTCCAAAACAGTGAGCGCGGACCTTGAATGATCGGCAAACGCAAAAGCTAAGGCCGATTTCGGTCTATGTAACCATAACTGAAATGTGTATGAAATGTTAAACACAAGTAGAGCGACAACAGGAAAAATAGGATTTTAGTAGGATTCTAGGTTTAGGTGACTTCAGCTACAAAATGTCTTTGCGTGAGATGTCGAGGGGAAAATTTGACCCCTCGACATCGACTAGGTTTCAGCGAGTGTCAAAACCGGGTCGGATTTTCCTGACTCCATTCCGTGTCGAGTCAAGTCGACCCAAACCCGACTCGGCCCGACCCGACTTACATTGTCTGGTGGAGTTTTTTGACCGGGGCGGCCTGACTCGACCTGGCCAAGCTAGGCCATTGAAGGGCTTGACCAAACTGGGCAAATTCTCGGGTCGGGTTTGGTCGGGCCTTTTGCTCAAGCCAAAGTTCAATAATCAGATTCAAATTGTTAGAATGTAGTAGCAGGAATGAATGAACTATGAAAGAGTTGGGTACAAATGTGAAACCCTAATGGGGTTGTACCCCATGTTGGCTAACTCGCTACAGCCTACAAATATATGACATACATATAATTTGACACACCCCCATAGGCAAAGTGGGGGAGAGCAAGGGGTCACAAGACCAGTCAAGAGAAGCAAAGCAAGCTCAGGGTGGATCACAACGTCACCACACGCACTGAGCACAAGCAAAGGGCCACAAGGCCAGTTCACATGCAGAGGTATATATGCAACAACAACAGCACAGTGATCTCTACCTACCAAGAGTAAGCATGCAGGTATATATATATATATATCATTTTTATATATATACATATATATCACCGTACAGACAGAGCCTACAGCACGTGAGGAAACGTAGGCACAAGGCCCAACAAAGTACAAAAGCGCAGATGATCACCAGGCGGAAGTGCCTTGGTGAATATATCAGCAGTGTTGGCCTGAGTGGCCACGTGAGCAAGACGAAGCTGACCACGCTGTTGCAACTCTCGAGCAAGGAAGTAACGCAGAGCGATGTGCTTCGTTCTGTGCTCCAGTCTGTGCTCCTGACACAAGGCAAAGGCGGCCTTGTTGTCTACGCTGGAGGAGAACGAAGCAGCTCTCCCAAGTCGGTCAGCTACCGGTGAGCCAGCGCAACTCCTGTGCAGCCATGGCAGTGGAGTAGATCTCAACCTCACAACTGGAGCTAAGAACTGAAGACGAACGTGTAGAACGCCAAGAACTGAACCAGAGCCAAGGCTGAAGGTGTAACCCTGTGACGAGCGCTGCATAGCCTGGTTGTCAACCCAAGAAGCGTCTGAGTGCCCAGTAAGGAACAACGTCGCTCCGTCCTCCAAGCACGAGCCCCATGCCCGATGTATTGCACAAATAGCGTAGTACCCTCTTAGCAGCACCCATGTGCACCTTTCGGTGCCGACCATGAGCCTCGTAGCGAGCAAGAAGGCCAAGAGGGTACGCAAGGTCAGGACGAGTGCAGGTCATCAGGTACATGAGTCAGCCCACTAACTCTGGGTAAGGACCGCTCGGCTCTACGGACTCGTCCGAAGGTGGAGCTGAGAGCGAGTGACTTGTAGCCAGAGGAGTGCCAGTGCCGAGGACCAAGTGAAGGCGAAGCGCTGAAGGACCTGCTGCACCATGTGTGACTGAGTCAGTGTGATGGTGCGGCGTGCTCTGTCCCGGGTGATCTGCAAGCCAAGGTAGCTGCGCAGCTCATCCAGGTCTGTGCACGTGTGTCTCTTCTGCAGCTCTGACTTCACCAGGTCGAGAGCCTCAGTGTCAGCAGTGGCAAAGACAAATTCGTCGACGTACACGAGGATGTAGAACAGCGGCAGCGAAGTGTCGGTGTGCAGAAACAGCGACGGGTCAGCAGTCGACGGAGCAAACCCAAGAGCCGCAAGTGTAGTCCTCAGTGTGTCGTGCCACTCACGCGGCGCCTGGCGAAGACCGTAGACTGGCCGCCGGGGCTCCACTGGGTACCAGGAGGAACGACCCAGTGAAGCCATGTGGGCGGCGCAGCCAGATTTCCTCGTGCAGGCTGCCCTGTAAGAAGGCTGTGCTGAAGTCAGAGAGAGTGAAGCTCGTAGTCACGCTGAGCGGCAACGTGCAGCAGCACCCGAAGAGTGGTCATCTTTGGGTGGGGGAGAAGGTCTGGAAGAAGTCGACTCCCTCCCGTTGACTGAAGCCTCAAGCAACGTAACGAGCCTTGAAGACAGGCGGAGAACCTGGCGGCCGCTTCACCCTGAAAATCCACATGACATCGACGATGTTCGCCCCAGGAGGGGGAACCTCGTCGACGTAAGTGCCTGTGGAATTCCAGGATGCCATCTCTGCGTCCATGACTGTCTGCCACTGAGAGGGTACTCACCCGCGATCGCCTCAGCGTAAGAACGCGGAGTCGGGATGTCTTGTGCATCTGGGTCTTCCTCAGGGGCAAGAAGCATGGACACAAGATGAGGCGCAAGACACTCAAGGTCCTCCTGCCTGTCCTCAAGGACGTCCGTGCCAAGAGCACACTCACCCCCGACGGACGGAGGACTGACAGACTCAGACTCAGCGACAAGACTAGCGGCGTAGTCTAGACGACAGGCAGTAGCGAATTCAACAAGCTCAGCTACTAGGGCAGACGCAGCAGCAGACTCAAACGATGTGTCAGTGACAACAGTGGCGAGCAGATGCGTGATAGTAGGGTGAGCAGCACGGGTGCGGTCAGACTCAGGCTCTGGACCGTCAACAGAGAAGACGAAGGAAGGGACGGTAAGGGAACACGCTGCGGAGCAAAGGAAGGACGCAGGGCCATGAGGTGTGTGCCGGGGACAGCCGGCGGACGCTCACGAGGAACACGACGACCCGTACGACCAGTGCGGACAGTGCGAACAGGCAAGACAGGATGAGACGCAGGCTCACGACGCTCAGCAAGACTGCCTGCCTGCTCACTGTAAGGAGAAGGAGCAGGCAGCGCTGAGCGAGGCAGTATCGGAAGACCAGTAGAAGACGCGAGGCTAAGAACCTGGCGAAGCACGGAGCCAGGCGGCGTGGCAGAGACAAAGGTGATGGTGGAGCGAAGAACAGCGGCGGCGGTGTAGTGCCACCAGCACTAGTAGCTCCAGCTCCTCCTGCAGCTCTAGAACCTCCAGCAGCTCTAGAACCTCCAGCAGCTCTTGAACCTCCAGCTCCAGCGCCACCAGCGCCAGCACCTCCAACAGCTCTAGAACCTCCAGCGCCAGCACCCGCAGTAGCTCCAGAACCTTCAGCGCGAGTGCCACCAACGCCAGCACCTCCAACAGCTCTAGAGCCTCAAGTGCCTGCAACCGCAGCAGCTTTAGAACCTCCAGCTCCAGCGCCACCAACAATAGCACCCCCAGAACCGGCACCTCCAGCTCCAGGGCCTCAAACCTCAGAATCGATAGCAGCACCTCCAGGTTCAGTAGGACCTGCAGTCCCAATAGCTCCAGTACCTCCTGTACGAGCACCTCCGGGACCTGCTGCTCCAGGAACTCCAGAAGAAACAACTACAGTAGAAGAGTCACCAGCTCCAGCGCCTCCCGCAGCAGGGCCCCTAGCACCAGCAGCACCACCCTGACGGCTAATGTACCACTCACGCAGCTGCTATGGGGAGAGAGGGACAGCGCCGGCTCCAACGCCTCCAACACCAGCACTTCCCGCAGCAGGGACCCCAGCTCGAGCAGCTCGACCGTGACGGCTAACGTACCACTCAGCAGCTGCTATGGAGAGAGAGGGAGACGACGACGAGAGTGCAGCGGCGAGGCACCAGCGGAGCGACTACGGAGACGGCCGCTCCATGGAGACTGCTCACCAGACGCCTCAGCACCCCCAGGTGCAGCACCCCCAGACTCAGTACCCCCAGGCTCAGCACCCCAAGATTCCTCACGCCCAGGCTCAGCACCTCCAGGCTCCACACCCCCAGGCTCAGCACCCCCAGGCTCCGCACCCCCAGGCTCTGCACCACCAGGCTCAGTACCCCCAGAAGCAGCACCCCGAGCAGGACCACCCACAGCAGGACTTGAGTCACCAGTGACCTCAACCGGCGCAGTCAAGGGAGGAGGGTCTACCTGAGACACACCTGAAGGAGCAGGACCGGGAGCGGGGAGGGGGTCTACCTGGGGAGCACCTGGAGCGAGGAAGAGACGGTAAAAGGGAACCGACTCATCGAACGTGACGTCCTGAGAGGGGAAGACACGGCGCGAGGTGGGGTGGTAAAACTGCCAACCAGGCGCGTCAGGGACAAAGCCAAGGAAGACACAGGGAACAGCGCGGGCGGAGAGCTTGTCCGCGGTGGTATCGCGGACAAAGGCACGAGAGCCCCAGACCCGGAACACCGACGCATCGCCAACTTCTTCCGCGTCCACCGCAGTGTGGGCGAGGTCTCCGGCAAGGAGACACGGGGCCAGAGGTTGAGCTGATGCGTGGCGTAGCGGACCGCAAACGGCCACAGAAAATGGGGAGCAGCCGCATGGACCATGGAGGTACGAGCGACCTCCATGACCAAGCCAATGCGGCGCTCAGCAACCCCATTCTGCTGCGGAGAGGCCGGAAGCGTGAACGTCTGGAGAATGCCCTCCCCATGACAAAAGCTCTGCAGAAGGCCGGAGGAAAACTCCCCACCTCTGTCAGAGTGCAGACGCAGGACGGGAAAGTCCGTCCCGAACGCTTGCGGAGCTGGAGACAGGCAGCGCAAATCCAAGGGACATCAGGGACCTCACCCTTGGTGCGCAAGGGGAAGACCGTGGTGTAACGCGAGTAGTCGTCAACAACCAGCAGGAAGTACCGCTTGCGGTCCTGCCCACTGACGCGGGCTGGGCCCCACACGTCCATGTGCAGGGTCTACAGGGGAGCAGTTGTCGGGGGAAACGAGGAGTGAGGAGCGGCGCGCTGCCGACCCTCGACACAGGGAAGACAAGGAGGAGCAGGCGAGGGTGGGAGGGGAGGGAGAACCCTGGGAAGACCAGAGACAAGGACACGGTGGTGCATGCTACAAAGGCGCTGCACTGAGGGTGACCAAGACGGTGGTGCCAAAGGAGGGTCTGGTGCGACAAAGCGCGACACGAGCAGGGGGCCGCTAGCTGACCTGACTCAGACGCAGATGCAGCGACCTGAGTGGACACAGTAGTCAGTGTGTACAGACTCGAGCCAGGCGCACAGGTAAACGTGGCCAGGTGCAGGCCCGTCCGGGAGCACGTACAGTGGGTCACGCGCTGACCTCCAGGAGTGAACTGGTCAACCCACTGGTCTTGGAGGTCAGCTCCACTCACCAAGTTCGTAGAGAATGAGGGGAGGTGAAGACCTGACAGGGAGCCAGACGGGACCGCCGGACACGGCAGGACTTTGGAGGAGTGCGCAAGGACTGGACCCCCGGAAGGGTCTGCTAGGGAGACTGCAATCGGTCGACTGAGCGGCGTGAGGGTGGTGCTATCGCGAAAGAAGGAGCGGGAAGCACCTGAGTCAAGTGTGATGGTGTACAAGGCCTTAGCAGGCGCAATACCAGAGAGAGAAGACGCACCAGCACCTGGAGTAGCAGCCTCACCAACACCTAGAGCATGAGACGCACTAGCACCTAGAGCAGCAGCCGCACCAGCACCTAGAGCAGGAGACGCACGAGCACCCAGAGCAGCAGCCTCACCAGCACCTAGAGCAGCGGGCTCTATACCTGGGTCAGGCGGTACGCACAGGTAACACGCACCGTCAGCACTAGTAGGCAATGCATACATGGCAGTGAGAATAGCATCATAGTCAAGAGCAAAGATATCTACCCTTTGCCTAAGCAGCTCCAGCCAGGTGGGGAGCTCAGCCTCGTCACCAAACTCGGTACGCCAGGCGTTGCTTGGCGGGCGAAGCAGTGTGAATTTGTGTGACTAAGCGTCCGCAAGCTTGACCAGCCCGATCACCTGTGCGAATGACATACGGGCAGCGTGTCAAATTATAATGTTCTGTAGGCTATAGTGGGGTAGCCCATATGGGGTACACATTTCTAGGGTTGCATATTTGTATCACTTTCATTCCATAGTCATTTTTCATTCTCGTTCTACTTTTCTCGTGGTATCAGAGCAGGTTCCCCCGTGGAAACTGTGCCTAGGGCCCACCACATCGATTTTTTTTTCCTGCCCGAAGCGCGCTCGGCCTGAGTCGCGCTACAGGCCCTCTCTCGCTTTGTCGAGCCGCCCTAGAGGCCCCGCCGCCCGTCGATTTGGCCCGCCGCCTCACACGCGGCCCTGCCGCCCTTTGTCACGGCCCCGGCCGCCCTTCGTCGCGGCCCCGCCACCCTTCGTAGCGGCCCCGCCCCCCGCCTCTCTCGTCGCGGCCCCGCCACCCTTCTTCGCGGCCCTGCCGCCCTTCGTCGCGGCCCTGCCCCCTGCCCCCTTCGTCGCGGCCCTGCCGCCCTTCGTCACGGCCCTGCCGCCCTTCGTCGCGGCCCCTGCCCCCCTTCGTCGCGGCCCTGCCGCCCTTCGTCGAGGCCCCGCCACCCTTCGTCGTGGCCCCGCCACCCTTCGTCGCGGCCCCGCCACCCTTCGCCGCGGCCTCGCCGCCTCTCTCTCGACGCGGCCCTGCCGCTCTTCGTCGCGGGCCCGCCGCCCTTCGTCGCGGCCCCCCGCCGCCTCTCTCGCTGCGGCCCCGCCGCCATTCTCTGCGGCCCCGCCTCCTCTACCACCGCGGCCCCGCCACCTACCTTGCGGCCCCGCCGCCCTTCACCGCCCGCTCCGCCCGAACCACCTGAGCCGCCCGAGCCGCCCGAGCCACCTGAGCCACCCGAGCCGCCCGAGCCGCCCGAGCTGCCCGAGCCGCCTGAGCCGCTGAGGAGCCGAGCCGCCCGAGCCGCCTGTGCCGCTGAGGATCCAAGCCGCTCGAGCCGCCCGAGCCACCCGAGCCGCCCGAGCCGCCCGAGCGCCCGAGCCGCCTGAGCCGCTGAGGAGCCGAGCCGCTGGTACTGCGGAGCTGCAGTTGCTGCTGAGCCGTCTAAGCAGCAGTGTTGCCGTGTTGCTGTGCTACTGAGCTGCCCGAACCCGCCCTGTCTGGTGAGAGCAGCACTTCTGTCACTTGCCCTGCCCCTGTCCTACAGTCAGTACTGCTAGTCAGTACTGTTGTCATGGCTACCCCTAGTGTCCTAGCTTTTGACGCTGAGGTCGCGCCATTGACTTTGAGGTCTGGGTCGACGACCTGCAGCTGTTCTTACAGTGCGATAGGGCAGACGGTCGTTCTCTCTTTGACCTCACCTCTGGCGCCTCTCTTGCCCCTGCTGCTGATGCTGACCCCACTGTTCGCTCCCAGTGGGCCACGCGCGATGCTGCTGCACGTCTTGCTGTGCGTCGCCACCTCCCTACCTCTGAGCGTGCGCACTTTAGTCAGTACAAGAGTGCTCAGACCTTGTACGACGCTGTAGTTGCACGCTACTCCTCCCCCTGCCACTGCTGCACTGAGCCATCTCATGCTACCGTACCTCTTCCTGACCTTGCTGCCTTTCCCACAGTCGCTGACCTCATTACGCACCTCCGCACTAGTGATACTCGCTACCGCGCTGCGCTTCCTGCTGACTTCTGCGCCAAGAACCCCCCTCCCATGTACATCACTCTCTACTTCATAGTCACTCGTCTCCCTGACTCCCTTCGTGTAGTCAGGGACCACTTCCTCTTGTCTGTCCCACCACTCTCACTGTAGACCTCCTCGAGAAGTCCCTCCTAGCGGCCTAGAAGAGCATAGTCGCTGTAGGGGCCTCTCGTGGTGACCCTCGCACCCCCATTTTGAGGGTGTTTCTCCTTCCCCCCTTTTGCCCTCTGTCGCCTGTGCCGCTGCGGCCGACCTCGTTGGTCTTGAGTCGGTCGGTGCGGCGTCTGCCCTAGCGGGAGACGCCGCCCTGGCAAGGGCAAGGAGGGCAAGGGCGCGGGTGGAGCTAGCGGGGCGGTGGAGGTGGAGGTGGAGGCGGCGGAGGAGTGGGGGTGGCGGTGGAAGTGGTGGCGGGGTGGAGGTGTCGGTGGCAGCAGTGGAGGTGGAGGCGGCGGAGGCGCGGCGGTACTGTCGGAGGTGGAGGAAAGGGACTACAGACACTACTTCTACTCCACCTCCTGCCTCTGGCCTACAGACGAGGAAGGGACTACCACGAGACCAGCAGCTGGGTCTACGGAACGCCCGCGGGCTTCGATCCAAGCATGATGGAGAAGTTCTTCTCCTTCATGTCCTTCTACGAGCAGCACCATCAAGGAGTACCTGCGCAGTCCAAACAACAGCACAACAACAACAACAACGTGACACCATGAGTCTCGACGGCTCATCCTACGCACGCGGAATTCAACAACAACAACAACAGCCTACCTTTGCCCCGTACGAGCCCCAGCGTGGCTCCGTCAGCTTCATGCCCGCAACACGCATCTGCACCGGGACAAGAAAGAGCATTGGACGCATTACAAGTTCAATCGCAATTCGCGCATGTCCTAAAGCTGCAAACGACAAAGCCTTTCGACGGAAAAGACTTCTTCACCTGGTCATTCGAGTTCGAGCTGATGATGGAAGGAGCACAGATTCTCGCTTCTTCGACTGGTCCCTGCCATATCCAACAAACGGCACCGCAATATGAGAAGCAGTAGTACACCTATCAATCAATGATGGCGTACAC